TCTTATAAAACTATATAGTTTGTATGGCTTACTTAAAACTTTAATAGACATTGTATATGCAAATGTATGTTCAATTTATAGCGAATGGAAGATGTTCCCGGTTTTAATTACAAAGAAAAACTGAAGCAATGCCCTAGTATCAAGTTTATGGGTATTTTGTATTGCTGTTATTATATTTTAAAAGCTTTCTTATCGTGACGTAAGCCGTGTCGCATGCATCTCAAAATATCGTCTCCGAAACTTTTTAATACAGGCGTAATTACGTTAAAAACAGCGTACAGTGAGTCGTACATAATTCACTGAGATAAAATAAATACATGTACGTAATATACTGGTGTTCTTATTGATCTTTTTAGTATTAACAATAATGCATAAATCAATATAGTATCATGTACGTTACGCGAGAGCAGATGCTGGTAGGGAACTATGCTTAGGTTTCGTCTTATTTAGGAAAACCTTGATGCAGCCATTGAAATCGGCACTCACGAGGACGTGACCACCGCAACCTTTGGTACGCTGTTCTACCACGGGATCGACAGGGGATACACCCACGGTCGAACTAGCTAAATTTTTCGCGTCCTCCTTGTTTTCCCACTGCTCCCTTTCCTCGATCTGTTTAATGATACTATCTGGATTCGGCGCGAATACTGCACACGTTACTACCGCGTTATGAGCTTTTATACCTTCCCAGAAGTCATTCCGATCTCTACGTACGCTTGAAAATTTCGAGTAATCGTGATTAGTTTTCCAAATATAAATACACTGGTTCTCCGAACCGCTGACTATATATTGCCCGTCAGGACTGAAGCTTGCTTTTATCTGACTACTAACATTAACGTAACCTTTGTATTTGCATGATAAATTTAAATCTCGCAAATCGTACAAGCGTATGCGGCTGTCGTTCGAAGTCACTAGAATCTTATCCTCCCCCGGCATCGGCTCGATACCACTGATCTTTCTACCCCTTGAATTTTTCCCTCTCGTCGATCGGACGTGTATCTGGGTGTGATATTTCAATTGATCCGTATTGTAAAATATGCATCGACCATCGTAAGAGCCGACCACCGCGAATTTCCCATTCTGACAAAAGTTCGCAGCAGTGATCAACTTGGTTTGCCCATCGACTTCGGTCCACACGGCTACTTTCTTGTCCGGTATATTCCACAATCGAAGTTTGCCGTCCAACGATCCCGAAATGAAGTAACGATCGTCGCGAGGATGAAACGCTATCGCTGTGACGAAGTCGATGTGCTGGAAACAGCATAAGCACTCCTTCCGTGATATATGCCAGAGCCGCACGGTTTTGTCCATCGACGAGGATAAGACGAAATAATTTTTAGACCATGAAACGTCGAGCAGGTCAGAGGTGTGTCCGGTGTAAGTGCAAAACGGTTTCGGCATAAAAGGGCTTTTCGTTCCTTCTATTTCGTTAAAGGCACTGGCCACGACGTTAGGATCTTCCATAGACTGTTGCGAGACTAAAGATTCTTGCGAGGGAGTGGGACTAACTTTCTCGGCGTTGTATTTAGTTCGCATATCTTGAAAATATGTAAAAGCATCGCGCAGAACCCAAATTCTTAAAACCTTATCTTGGCCAGCTGTGGCGAGTAATCGTCCGCAGGCCGAGAATTTCATGCACCAAACAGGACCCGCGTGCTCGCCGCTCAAATCTTGAACGTGTTGCAAACAACTAAACTCGTACGGTCCTTTATGACTGTTGGACGCTTTTAACTTTATGTATTGCTGTTCTCCGGGATAGACTTCGTCTACTATGTCCATAACGTCTTCCTTGTGTCTCGCGTGCGAAACTTCTTGCGCGATGGATTTTGCCTTGTCCATCGTCTTCTTCACAGTAGAGCCCAAGAATCGTTTTAACTTTTGAGTTCGCTTTCGAACTCTACCAACGGACACGTCTTCGTCGGGTGGTAAACTCGACATTTTACTGTCGACACTTTCCTCGTCACTTTCTTTCTCTTTCTCTAGACTAGAATTACTTATATATTCCGAAGTAAGTCTCATAATATGAAGCGATAAGGGATTGATGCACTGTGGTAATTTGTCTTCGGCTATACTTAATGGTACTCTCTCCCCGGTGTCTAGGTTTAATACGGTTACCTGTTCCAAGATCTCCTAAAAAATGAACGCATCATTATTAAGACGACGACCATAAAACTATATTATTTTTTATATTTCAGTCAAACATACCATATCTGTGAGACGCTTCCCAGAATCTGTCCTGGTTCTAACAAACATGTTTAATTGCTGAATCATGTCTTGATCGCCTGCCGATTTTCGCCTTTCTTTCGAGCCTTGAGGACTCAAACCCGTTAATTTATGAGGCCCTAAAGAATGGCGACCAATACTACTGCTGGACACAGATCCCAATGCGCTACTCTTGTCGCTCAACCTCACACTCAATAATTCAGCTTTCATCTTCTCTATTCTTTCTAATTCCTCGCTCGACGGACCTTCAGCTTTTGATTTATCTTCGTCCTGTGCAAACATGATGATTGTAAATAAAATATGTTTAATCAAACCGATCGAACTGTATGATTGTAATAATACGAACCTGTGGCTTGACAACATATTGTCCTTTCGTTGCAGATCGAATATCGAGAGAATGTTCAAATTCTCTAGTAATAGATTCAATGGTACTTGCTGGACTTGGCAATGGCGAGGCAGGTAATACTGATTCTGCTTTAGAAGGCTGAAATTATAAATTAATTCTATTTAGTATCAGCTCTATAAATATTTTATGTTATACATGTTTTATATTGATCAGATAGATATCGTACTGCGAGGTCGGTAGGTGTTTGAGCTTTCGACTTTTTTTTACGTCTCGGTGGTGCAACAGGTATCCCAGCCATAGTTACGTCTTCATTCGACTTTCCATTATTCTTTGTACTAGCGATGACATCAGGTTCTTGAAGCATAACAGTCTTATCATTTTGTGACTGAGACGTATGATTCGACCTACTGTTAACAGAGGATTCCAGAAGGATATCCCCTGATAACGTAAGGATGCTGGATGTCTGGGACACCTTACCCGATGCTGTGTCCTCGTCTTTGCTTGGTATACTAGCAATGGAGGACATCTGGCTTTCACGGGTAAGGGTGGTAGAAGGGGGACACTGAGTTACACTCGGTGCAAGCGTTACTGATGCACTGTCCCCGACTCCAGCTAAAATTCGACCAACTCTTCCTAAAGATGTCATACTTTGTAAACTAAGTGTATCGTGCTCTATGATTCTAAATGGATGAGTTGTCTTTGATGGGGTAGGATAAACACCCTCGATAGATGACGTTTGACTGTCTGGAGGTGAACTGTTGATGGGAATATCATCGTCCTCTGTTTGCATACGTTGTCTAAGTTCACGAAATCTTCTTCTGCCGATGGTTTTATCTGTACCTGACTCCTTTCCATCTTCTTCCTGCTTGAATGGATACTTAGCATTACTATCTAATTCGGTATTAGGCATGTCGCATGCATCGATGTGCTATGTTAACAGATACTTACAGCTTTATCTTTACTAACTGTACATTCTATTGTTACATGTTCCTTTGGTTCTACAATTGGCTTAGGTTCAGCAGGTTTCACAAAAACATCTGGTTTAGGCTCAGCAGGTTTCACAAAAACTATAGAATGAAAAATGTAAATTAAGTATAATTGACATTATTCCGAACTGCAGATTAGACTGTTATGAAATTTATCTGAAGGCATTTTGTTATCAAATATATAAAGTATATGCATGTACATAGATAGTCGAGGCTTTTTGTAAAATTCACGATAAGCAATCACAGGCAATATTACCGTGCATTGTGATGAAAAGTATCATCCTCTGCATCGAAAAATTCCTCGGAATCGCTGCTTCCAGACATTGTCGTCTGCACTGAACGATCGGCGATAATACTCTTGTCTGCATCGGTACTGTCAAGGCACGTCACGCGTTTCGCAAAATCGCGAACACTAGGGCCAGGTAGAAGCGGCCGCAGGATCGTAAGCGGCACCAAGTCATGATTTGACTTCCAACAGCGGTTACACAAGTACAGTTCCGCGCTGAACGTGCTGCTGCTGGTGCGTATTTCAATTATCCTAGTTCTTTCAAAACCGTGAATTAACGATGCGAATGTGGTAGCACTGCTCGAATTCATCCAATAAAGAGGCCGCGTCATGGAAAAGAGTTGTACGATTGGTGAACAACGAATCTGCAGGCTCGAACTCGTGCAGCTGCCCGCTCGCCAGCATGCCTGCTGCAAAGGAGGCGAGCCGTCACACAAAAGCAAGATGGAGGATCTCACAGTCGAAGTATGCGGCGAAAACGGAGCATATTATAAGGTTCGTTCTGTGAAAAGTATACAAAAAACAGGGCGGAAGATGAAGGCCGTGGATAGACCAACTCACGGCCCGTGACGCGGTTCTAATCTCGCTAAAGAGTCTCCTGTACTTCGCGAAACCGCGGCCCTCAAATGTTCGCGAGGTAACGCGGCTTCCTCCGACGCCATGTCTCGTTTGACAGGGCGTGATTTTCGTCAACTGTTCATGTTGCTGCCCGTCTCAACAGTTTTGCCGATTCACGGAAACCCGTTTACTTAATGCCGCGATTAGGAGAACGCTGCTTTCGCGGGTACCCCGAAAGCATCGCGATATCGTGTGCCCCCCCGATTGTCTTACGCCACTCGCTATACTTTTCATACCTGTACAGGATGATTTTACATGCTTTGCACTTCATTTTTTCAGGCCTTTGTCACCGACGTCTTTGAGGACGAAGTTCTGGTAGCTTTCGAAAATGAGTGAGTTTTCAATATTGAATGTTTGAGATCGGTTTAGATAGTGATACATGAGGAAGTGCACCATGATGCACCTTGTGCTAATAACAGTGTAGCCTCTTGAGCACAAGATTATACTATTTTTATCAGCTCCATAAGGCTCAATATTTCTAATACCTGAGTTAATCGCAGAAGTACTATAATATTTATAAATATCTCTCAATACTGTTACTCAAGCAACCATAGTTTTGATTTCTTTTTCACATGCATTGATTTTTACAACACTATTGTTAAAACATTATTAGATACATGCATGTGCATATAAATACACAAGATGTTTCAATGTAAATGATTTAAAGAATTACCGTTTTTACATTACTTTTTTGATATGCATTGAAAGTAAAATATTTTCTTTGTTCCTGTTTCCTAACATACGATACGATTGTAACTTACGATAAATATCAAACTCTTATACTTCATTTAATTACAAATGTATTGACATCGAACAAATGATTTATTAAGTAGTATTATATTGCAGAAAATAATGATGCAAAAGACAGATAATATATAACATATGCACCCTGGCACGTGTTGATATGTTTTCATCAGAAATCAAAAATCATCAAAGCAGTTATACACGTGTATCAATTTCGTTAAAATCAAATGTTTAAATTATCATTTAATATTATGCAATCTTCTACTTGCTTCATGATTTTTGAGGATGTTTAATGGAGCATCTAATGCATTCCAGCTGGCAACCAGAGTCAAAGTTTCCATTTGCTCAAGTACGTCTACCTCTAACAGATAGTCAGAAACCTGAATTTGCTGAGAACATGGAAATTGAGGTATTTTCTAGGTCCAATGAGCATGAAGCTTGTGGATGGTGGAAAGCAGTTATTAAGGTTAGTATACATTATAATAAAAAAATACATGTTAACTTCATTCAGTTAGTAAATAATCTAAAAGCTAATATTTCTTGTAATTTTATTTACAAGAATTTTATTTGTTTCAGATGA